TTGAAGCGTTACAAATCACCTGGCCCAGATGACTTACCTTCGGCTCTTTTTAAAGATGGTGGTGACTTTTTGACTAAGGAATTGACGACGTTGTTTACAAAGGTTTGGGAACTAGAGAGTGTACCAACGTCATGGAATGAGTCGATAGTTGTCCCTATCTTTAAAAAGGGTTCACGTCGTTCTTGTAACAACTATCGGGGGATAAGTTTACTTCCGATTGCGTCCAAGCTATTGGCTTCCGTCATTCTTCGTAGGTTGTTCAAAACCCGAGAAAGATTGACTCGCGAGGAGCAGGCTGGGTTTCGTTCTGGTCGAGGATGTATTGATCATATCTTCACCCTCCGCCAAATGTTAGAACACCGCCATACTTTTCAAAGGCCAACAATCGTAGTGTTTCTTGACATCAGGGCTACCTTCGATTCGTTGGATAGGACTGTTCTCTGGGATTGTCTATTGAAGAAGGGTGTGCCTGAGAAGTTTATTAACATCCTAAAAGCCCTGTATAAAAACACCTCAGGCAGAGTGAGGGCATACAACCACCTCTCTCCATTGTTCCATTCGAGCAGTGGGGTTAGGCAGGGTTGCCCAATCTCACCATTCCTCTTCAACTTTGCCATCGATGACATTCTGGAAACAGCTCTGATGAATGTAAGTAATGGTGGTGTGGATCTGTTGCCTGGAGAAAGACTTCTCGACCTTGAGTATGCGGACGATATTGTCTTACTGTGCGATAATGCCCAAGGCATGCAATCCGCACTTAATCAGTTGGCAATCAATGTCCGTAGGTATGGTATGTGCTTTGCACCTTCGAAGTGCAAAGTACTTCTACAAGACTGGCAGGATTCTAATCCTGTACTCACCCTGGACGGTGAGCAGATAGACGTAGTTGAGAAGTTCGTGTATCTGGGTAGCTGCATAAGTGCTGGTGGGGGTGTGAGTGATGAGATCAATGCACGAATAGTGAAAGCCAGAGCGGCTTATGCCAATCTGGGCCATCTTTGGCGCCTTCGTGATGTTAGTCTGGCTGTAAAAGGTCGGATCTACAACGCGTTGGTGAGAGCAGTTTTGCTCTATGCTTGTGAAACCTGGCCTCTCCGAGTTGAGGACGTTAGACGACTCTCTGTGTTCGATCATCGCTGTCTCCGAAGGATTGCTGACATTCAGTGGCAACACCATGTCAATAATGCAGAGGTTCGGCATCGTGTGTTCGGGCACAGAGATGATAACTCAATTGGTGTTACCATCTTGAAACACCGACTTCGGTGGCTTGGACATGTTCTCCGAATGTCGTCCCAAAGAATTCCACGTCGTGCATTATTTGCCGACTCTGGGACTGGTTGGAAGAAGCGGAGAGGTGGTCAGTGCATGACATGGTGTCGTGGCATGAAAGAAAGCTGCAAAGGACTGGCTTGTGTTGGTCCTTCACGACTCCCTGGCTGGGGTCCGAGAGATGGTGCTACACAGTGGCTAGAGACGTTATCAGATATGGCTCAGAATAGAAGCCAGTGGCGATCCTGCTGTAACCTTTTACTTTCTTCATAAAAAGTGGTTGTGTCTCCTTTACCTGAAAGATTTCTTCTGATTGTACCTCTTCGTCATTACTCTCTTTTTCTTTTGCGTTCCTTAGTTTTTTTTTCTTTCTACTTCTCTTCGAATTCCCATTGTTTTGTGTGGCGCATATATATTGGCGCTCTCTTGTACCAATATTTATGTGTTCAAATAAATAAATAGTTATAACAACTGAATTATCATCTCTGTGTCTGAACACACGACGCCGAACCTCCACTGTGCTAACATCTTGTAGCAACCGGATGCCATCGATCCTTCGGAGACAACAGAGACAACACAAGAAGCCATCTAACATCAACTCAGAGGCCAGGCCTTACAGACATAGAGGAAAACTGCTCTCACTGGAGCGTCATAGATCCGACATTTTACAACCAGACTAAAATCATGAAGGTGCTAGAGATGACGCGGATTGACATAAGCCGCTCTGGCTCTTACTATACGTGAATTGATCTCATCAATCACGCCACCACCAGTACTTATGCAGCTATCTAGATACATGAACTAATTCTAACTCCTCACTACCAAGTGTGAGTGCAAGTACAGGGTCCTGTCAGCCTTTTAAAGTACTTTGTACTTAGAAAGTGCAAAGCACATGCTATACCTATGAACACTGACTGCCAACTGGTTAGGTGCGGATTGCAAGGCTTGTATATCATCTTACAGTAAGACAATACCGTCCGCATACTCAAGGTCAAAAAATTTTTCTCCAAGTAACAAATCCACGCTATTTATACTTACTTACTTTTGATAGGATGGTGAAAGTTGAGTTAGATCTGACTTTTGTTTTTGTTCAATATTTTTAATAAAACTTGTTACAACTGTACATGATGGCAATGGAAAGTCAAGGCGACCAGGCCAATTGCATGGTTCTTTCTTCTTTTTATTATGGATTATTTTCCATTTTAATAAGTCGACCGAATTACTTTTACACCCACCAATGGTAACTAATGTACATGGTGTGATCGGTGTCGATGTATGATAACTTCTTGACGATACCGTTAAACTGGAATCGGCTTCGCAGTAAACATATTTCATTCGTTGTTGAGATGAATCCATATCAATCAAATTACCTGTTAATAATAATTTGTGGAATATTTGTCACAAAAATAGTCAAAACTATATTACGTAACGATGAACCGGTCGATAATCCAATGAGCTGAAATAGAACCTGGTTGTATCATTAATAGTGGAGGTTCAAATGATCCCAGTATTGATATTCAAAACCAAATTTTTTTACCAGTCTCTGTTAGCATGTACGCGTCCAGTAAGAATTGCCTTGATATAGCTATTCTTAAGTTTTCTTTTACTTAGAGCAAGTGAATTGTGATTAACAGTGAAATTCAGGAAGTGCGTTTCGTCCTATTTGAAACTTGCCAGCTGAATTTATCTATACCTCAGTTTTGATGTAAACATTAGGACTCAAACCTAGTTAACTCTATCATCTGGGAGGAAAGGTGATTTGTGGGATAACCAAGTCTGTGGATGAGCTCCAATCGCTAGATGTTTGATAAATATTCTGCATTTTATTTTGTAGATTTTCTCAACTACATCACAATATCTCCATCTATGTTGATGCGAAATGATGGAAAAGAAAAGAAAGTAGTTAACTGATAATTAGATAAGTGCAACTAATTGGTATTAAAACGAGTCATCAGCTTGAATGTCATCTACTATTTCACTCTAATTCTATTGACTATTCTTACTTTTCTGTCTTCATATAATCTTCCCTTAATAGAAATTGTTATTAACTGGAGAAGACACTGACAAAAAATGTTGAAAAGTAGTTAACCTACCATATAGTAAGTAAATATTCCCTGCCTTTCTTTGGCTTCGTAGAGAACCTTCTCGGCCGATAATAATAGCTGAAAACGTATTCTCATCATCTAGTGAACGAATTATTTGAGCAGAATGAGCTGACAACCCAGCTCCCTGAGGAAACCCTGTAAGCAGTGGTTCATTCAAAGCAGGAGGTAGCCAAGTATTCGATTGAGTATCATATGTATGTATACCTGGGATCCTGATATGTCCATTCCATCCCCCTTTATTAAAATATGCATCACCATGAAGGTTGAATAAAAATGGCAACAATTAAATAGGACAGATGTTTTGTATATGTATCCAGATCTAAGTATGTTGTACAATACATTTAAATTTTGATGTTAAATGACTGAAGGAAACCAGTGGAAAGCATCGGGCCTAGATTTTATATTAGTTGACACTTATCTGCAAAACAGATCCTTGATGTTGAGAGAACTGTCTCCCCCTGGGGGTTCGAACCCGCGACATTGACTGTAACACTAGTTGACATAAATTCGAATAGCACAGAAAGTGTCGGCCCCCTTAAAACCATGAGTTCATCTTGCTGACAAGTGTAGCCTAGCAACAAAATATAGGTGCATGGTTTCTTTGACTATGAAGCCTCAAAACATACTTTAGACGTTAAATTACCTCAACTAGCAGAAAAATTGAAACTTGGTCAATAGAACTCTACTAGCAATAAGAACAAGATAACCTCTGGGCATGTCGAGATAAATCCAACCCAGTAACTTTGAGGGATAAGGTTGACCAGTTACATGATGAGACCTACTCTAAAAGACAAATAACAGGGTTAATAAGATACAACTGATAACAAGCAGTGATTAGAATCTACTGATTTTACACTCGTGGGATTGTTCTATGAGGCCCACTACCATTTTCGGCAAGCTTTGATCTCATTCAGAATGCTAATTGAAGCTCAGTAACTGAGCCCTAGAGTTCTGAGAACGTGACACCGCCAATAATTATATCGTGTTTTGACATGCTACCGAGTTTAATCCAAGTGTTATAAATATAGAATGACAAAATTAGGGAATTCGTCTCCTGAGTGAGCAACTACGATCAGTCGACAAGAGAATAACAAAAACGATTGGCCGGATGATAACCCTACCTACAGTTTCAATTAGTCTCTAGTTGAGAGAAGATAGGTTAGGAAATGTAAGTAACTACTATTCCTGACCCGACAATCCACTATAGATACCCCTAGGGACTTCAGAGATGAGAATTACACAACTACAATGTTACTAATTAACATACTCTCATATTAACAATCATTAAATGTGATTGATACAAACTTACCAATAAAAACAAGATATCTATCCTTGAAAACTAGACATGTATGTTGACTAAGAAATGGTGAGTCTGAAGATGTAATTTCCATCCACTGGCCTATTGTAGGATAAAGCTGTATCTTGTAAAAACAGTTGCTCGGCGTTTTACATGATGCATCATTAGAAGTTATTCCGCCGTGCAGATAGAGATCTCCCCTTATAATGGCACCTGGAATATTTTGTTCAGAGCATACAAAAATATGTTATACCAGTATGACTTCGTAGCGCAGGACCAATCGTGCCATTTGTTGCATTAACCCACTGAAGAGAACATCGCTTTGTCATTTACTAAAGTTTAATATTATGTAACATATGTGAAGTGAACATTTTTAGCGACTTCGACATAATCCCTTTTATTAGTGTATACTTGTAAATGTAATGGCATTAAAAGTGAATTGAATGTATTAGTAGTAGAAACAATCAAATTTCTCATCCTACTCTTTAAGTTTAAAAGCTAACCGATTGAAATGTGAACAGGCGAAGCTAAAATGGTAACATTACAATCTCGATAGTTTATTCAAAATTTAAATAGGCACTAATATGATTTTGTCGAAATGTAGACTGCAAAATAATTATTAATTCTTAAGAATGGAGGCTAAGACTGTGATTCATAGACGGTCTGATGAGATCGAAGATGGTAGTTCTCAGACCTTAACGCGGAATTTATTCATATATGGGTTTTTTGTGCCATTTCCCCAAAAAAATTTATAACGGCTTCCCCAAAATTGGGAGATTGGGTATATATGGCTAAATATTTAGTGAACGGCTAGCCAGGTTTAGTCACTGATATAAAGGAGGATGGACCACCAAAATTTAGGACTTTCACTGACCCACGCAATTACTTTGATGATCCTTTCCCACCTAGTGATATTGGAATCTTTAGGTGCTCCGTAGTTAGCCATGAACACACCTGGATCTCGGTTAACGACATAGATTGTAAATGTATGGCCATAAATTGTATGAATTATCTAGTTCTTATCCCATTGCTGCATACTTGGCTGCAAATGCATTTTGTTTCAATAGTATTGAATAAATGGCGACAAATAATTTACTTACGTCTTATGTTATTTTCAGCCCGCTAACAAGAAGTACGTCATTGTTGACGTCCTAAAAAAAACTTATGATAGCATCCAAGGAGTGGATAATAGGCAAGGAACTTTGCGCTTATCCGAACGACCTTGTCGATATACACCTGCAGAAGTGCGACCAACCGAATGAAAATTGGTCACTCATGAAATGTAAAGTGATTCACGAATTAGGTAGGTTACATACACAGAAAGCATAATTCACTATAGATTCTCTGCAGTCGGCAAAAGATCTGTTAGTTGCCCTACAGATACTGGAGTCTCAGCGGAAAAACACCTCAACGGATGAAAACACTTTGCCACTTAACACTGAGAAGCCAAAAAGGTCTGTACAATAATCTTACTAACATTTCCTAGAGGTGTAATGAAGCGTAAAGAAGATTTTCTTTACAATTCAGTCGACATGGATGTGGCTGAGATGCAGGCTGGGAATAGCCGCGTACAATATCCCAAATTCCGTGTTTTCGAAAAATTAATATCGCCAATCGCCAAGTACGTTTAATTACTATTTAGATATTCACTATTTAGTTCAACACAATTAGAGACATCACCATCCACATCGGAATGTATGCATGTTGGTGGCGCTGTAGTGGACCAGTAAGTAACCTGCATCATCTAGTGACCTTTTTCACCTGTGATAGGTTGTATACTGTGGTGCTGAACATGTCGTCAGCTATCAATGACTTGACTAAAACGATTAACAACATGTCGTCCGCCATTATGGACTTGAATGTTAATGTAAACCAATTGCTTTCAAAGTCTAATGAGCGCGAAAGACCGCATCAATTCGATTGCGGACTGTCAAGTCAGCAGTTCCCTTTGTCATCTGAAGAGGAACTACAGATGCTAGATACTGGTTTGTCGCAGAAAGAAACCAGGGACAGATTTGTAAGTCATTTACATGAATTTAATAATTTGTTACTATTACAGATGGCAATGGTCACTAGGTTATCCAAAAACGTCCATGCGTTTTGTTCTGTCGCATCTGCTGACACCGGAGGTTGCCAGTAAATTCACGTTACTTGGCACCCCTTCAAAACGAGCACTACAGAAATGCACGTCTTACAGCTGCATACGAAGTAACCTATATCTATTACTTAAACTTCAGGTGCCTTAACTCATCGCTTTTTGTCATCCTCTGTCAACGAGAAAGACCTTGGTAAGCTCTACGACATCGCGACACATGTAAATGACTTACAAATCTGTCCCTGGTTTCTTTCTGCGACAAACCAGTATCTAGCATCTGTAGTTCCTCTTCAGATGACAAAGGGAACTGCTGACTTGACAGTCCGCAATCGAATTGATGCGGTCTTTCGCGCTCATTAGACTTTGAAAGCAATTGGTTTACATTAACATTCAAGTCCATAATGGCGGACGACATGTTGTTAATCGTTTTAGTCAAGTCATTGATAGCTGACGACATGTTCAGCACCACAGTATACAACCTATCACAGGTGAAAAAGGTCACTAGATGATGCAGGTTACTTACTGGTCCACTACAGCGCCACCAACATGCATACATTCCGATGTGGATGGTGATGTCTCTAATTGTGTTGAACTAAATAGTGAATATCTAAATAGTAATTAAACGTACTTGGCGATTGGCGATATTAATTTTTCGAAAACACGGAATTTGGGATATTGTACGCGGCTATTCCCAGCCTGCATCTCAGCCACATCCATGTCGACTGAATTGTAAAGAAAATCTTCTTTACGCTTCATTACACCTCTAGGAAATGTTAGTAAGATTATTGTACAGACCTTTTTGGCTTCTCAGTGTTAAGTGGCAAAGTGTTTTCATCCGTTGAGGTGTTTTTCCGCTGAGACTCCAGTATCTGTAGGGCAACTAACAGATCTTTTGCCGACTGCAGAGAATCTATAGTGAATTATGCTTTCTGTGTATGTAACCTACCTAATTCGTGAATCACTTTACATTTCATGAGTGACCAATTTTCATTCGGTTGGTCGCACTTCTGCAGGTGTATATCGACAAGGTCGTTCGGATAAGCGCAAAGTTCCTTGCCTATTATCCACTCCTTGGATGCTATCATAAGTTTTTTTTAGGACGTCAACAATGACGTACTTCTTGTTAGCGGGCTGAAAATAACATAAGACGTAAGTAAATTATTTGTCGCCATTTATTCAATACTATTGAAACAAAATGCATTTGCAGCCAAGTATGCAGCAATGGGATAAGAACTAGATAATTCATACAATTTATGGCCATACATTTACAATCTATGTCGTTAACCGAGATCCAGGTGTGTTCATGGCTAACTACGGAGCACCTAAAGATTCCAATATCACTAGGTGGGAAAGGATCATCAAAGTAATTGCGTGGGTCAGTGAAAGTCCTAAATTTGGTGGTCCATCCTCCTTTATATCAGTGACTAAACCTGGCTGGCCGTTCACTATTACTACATTATCAGGCTGACGTGAAGTGATTTCACTGTTGTTAAACATAATTACTTGTTTATTGGAGACATCATTAACGCCTATTGGGGTAGTATTTGTTAAGCCACTAATTTGAAGCCTATCGCTGAAGGATATTCTCTCAGCATAACGCTGTGCTGCTTGCTTAGCTACTGCAAACGCACTACGCACGGAATCCTTAATTTGTCTCATATATGACTCGAATGGAAAGGCTGAAAACTATCTAAAGGTCCATGTGCACGAACGTCGTCAGGTAGGTGCTGTAACGAATGCACATTGTGAATCAAGTGTTCACACCCATAACACCATTCGTATTCATTCAGAAAACTTAGTAAATCTATTTTGGCGGTTTCTACAAAAGTTTTATGTAATTTGGGATGTGCAAGCAGATACATGGATAACGCTAAACGCCGGAAATTAAGATAAAAAGGTTGTGGCAATGTTTGTTTTTTCAAGAATCACCGGGCCTAAATACAGAAGGAACAACCTACATTCAGAAGCTTTCCATGCCGATACAAAGTCTAGTGTACGGCATTTACGGGGAAAGTCAGAAGGAGTACTTGCCAAACAACCAGATATTAAATTATTTATGTCCCGAATTGCACATGAGTTAAAGTTCCGCAGTCTTCGGTGTGCTAAATCTATCCATAAATTAGCTAGTTTTTTGGTAACACCAAGGTACACCATGTGCATAGGATCTAGAGGAAAAGTAACAATCATATTAATAGAAAGCGTTTCCATTATAGAATGTTCTTGATGGTGAATTGATTGAGTCAGACGACGGAAGTATATACTCCTTTTGGAAAGGTCGTTTTCCCCTCCAGCCGTCTCCCAACTACAATACACCTTTCGCAACCTGCCTTACCGTTGTGGTTTGCCATGTACCTAACAGAAGAACGAGCAGGTGCGTCACATATAACAGCCGCCAACCTAATAGCTATACATCTATTAAACTTAACACTAAAAAGACCCACGTCAGTCATTTCTTTTATTTCAGAAATTGTGTCCGCAGAAAATTCGTTGAATTCTGCCGGCTTACTATTCCCTCCGTAGATCCCTATCATGAACACGTCACTAAGCCGAGGGGCAATGATCCGTCCAAGTATAGGCCATAACTGTTGATTGGAGCTTCTAGACATAGAAAGTCCATCTATATTGAGATATAAGTTTAAAGAGTCAAAATCACTAGTACACAACCAAAGCTCAACGTATCTTAGCAGATTGGTTTTCAACCCTAGATGGTAGTAAACCCCAATGCCGATTACCTTTGGTTGAACACTTGGACAGGTCTTCAGAACGCCTCTGATGCTTTTCGGTATGTCCGGGATAAGAAATCTTAGACCATACAGAACCCGATCAGCATCTTTTATGCCCAGAGATGTATTTGACATTAGATACATCATAAAGTCGTTCATCTGTTCTTTGCGATTCACGAACTTTGGAGAGCACAAGTTCACTTTAGTATATCCTATAACATAGATATTTACGTACAAATTTAATGTTCATACCACTATTATGTGAAAGCCTTTGATTGATGTTGCTAGTGGACGGTGTACTAATCGAAGTACTTTCATTACAACTGACTTCTCTCTTTACTCCTATCAATTAAGTAAACATTGTTAAACTCAGTTACCTTTTACGGTGCTTTCATTAGCAAACTCACTGAACGAAAGAAAGTGATATTTTTTCATTAAAGCAGCTCTCATTTTATTCCACCACACTGACGCGCGCTATCTAAAAAGGACAGTGGTATTGCTTCTCGTTAAATTTTTAAACTGTTTTGATCGTAAATTACGTATCAAAACTACGATTTACACTTTAATTGAATCTACTCCAGTTAAGGTGATTTTTTACTGAGTTTTTTGGCTTTTGTGTATTTATTACATTCGAAAGCACTCTTGGTCTGTATCAATTGATACTTTAAAGTACTTTAGTTAAGGTTTGACATCTTGCTAGAGTTTGTCTTGTGGTTCATACTGTGATCATATTGTGTATTACACCTTAATCAGACTAAAATGGTTGGTAGTACCCACAAATGTGGACAACCAAACTGTTTGTTCCCTGTGGAAGAGGGAATGCAGTGTGACGAATGCAATAAATGGTTCCACAAAATGTGCACCCGTTTAAGTCCCACTGCATATAAAAGATGTTCGAAGCCTAACTCACATTGACTTTGCATGTTTTGCTGTGCCAACAAGGCATTGCTAATACAGGAGGCTATGAGCCTATTGGCTTTGGCCTGTAAGAAGAATGATGGCATATGCGCCGACAACACGGGCACTGACAGTGACAAATGTGTCAGTGTTGTTACGCGACGCCTCAAAAAAACCGACTCTGACCGACGTAAAAGTGAAATCTTCGTTGATATTAACAGGGGGAGTAGTACCACCTAGTACTGACATTGTTAATAATGCACCTTTAGTGGGAACCGTAGATCTGGATAAAACAGTCACCGTTCCAAATAGTCCCAGTGTCATGAGGGATGAAAAATGGACTACGGTACGTAGGAAACGAAACGAAAAGAAAAAAGCTGTAAGCAGTACACAGGCAGTTAGTAACTCACTGGTGGACTCAAATTGTGAGCCACAAATTGCAATACCAAGATCTGATCGTAAGAGTGAAACCTATCCTGGCGTAACTGAGAAGAAAAATATAATAACATCGAATATTATTGTGAGCAAATTGCGGGAGTCAAATGACCCTGATCCGAAAATTAGACACGCGCGTGACTTAGAAAAGCTAGGAGAATACATTCGTAGTATTTTACCAGATAACTCCAAAGGAGTTCAGGTTAAAAAGTTGGTAAGAATAAGCAAGAAGACCGAGGACAATGTTGAACCCCGTCCATGCAGGCTCCTTAACGTAATCCTAGGATCGGAGAAGCAACGGGATCTCTTGTTAAGTAGCGCTCGTTGTCACGACAATTCTGACATCCGAGTTAGACCTGACATATCTCTCGAAGATAGAATAAAAAGGAAGAAAGCACTAGCTGAGCTTGAAACCCGTCGGCAAAACGGTGAGGAAAATCTCCGGCTAGCGGGTTTTCGGACAGTCAGGTCTTGGAAGCGAATGCTACCAAGGCCTGTGTGGATAGGCTGTTCTACCTAGGAGTTTTATATGCCAACGCTCGTAGTCTACGAAATAAGTTCTATGAACTAGAAGCACTTGTGGACAGATTAAAGCCACTCATTGTAGCAGTGACAGAAACTTGGTTAGTCGATGACTTAGACATTACTCCAGAATTATCCGGATACCATTGCATCATGAGTGATAGACATAGATATAGGAAAGGAGGCGGCGTCCTGTTATACATAGCCAATAGCATAAATATCCGCTCCTCTATTAGCGAATCCCATGATAACGGCACTTGTGAAGTCATTAGCTGTAAGTTGGCTATAGGATGTAGTACATTTATGCTAGGTGTCATCTATCGCAGCCCAATCTGCCTAGCTGATGACTTTGTTTTAGAGCACATTCATCTTTGGAGTGAAAATACCAGATGTTTGGTAATAGGAGACTCTAACGCACCTGATATTAGTTGGACTGATATGACCACAGAAGGATCTATAAACTCCTTTGATAGTAAGTTCCTGATGACAATAATGGAGCATGCACTAGTACAGCATGTATCCCAACCCACACGTTTTGGTGTTAACCAGGGTTCTTCTCTGATGGATTTGGTAATCACTCATGAGACTGAGGATATTTTCGACTTAAATATTCTCCCGCCGTTAGTGAACAGCGATCATGCTGTTTTGTCATTCACGTTTCGAACTAGGGGCATGTTATACGATCAGGTTACACCTCGCCCAAATGTATGGAAAGCTAACATATCAGCCATTCAGGAATGTGCTGCTAAGACAGATTGGTTAGTAGATACTAGCATATCAGTTGAAGAAGCATGGTCTGTATTTAAAGGTAAATTTAGACTAGTTACGTCCCCGTTCATACCATACCTGGTATCGCGAAGACCGAATAATAGTCCACCATGGATAACTAAAACGGTCAGGAAACTCCTTAGAAAAAGGAAGAATCACTGGGATATGTTCATCTCTACTGGCTTAGGACAATACAGATCCAGTTACTGTAAGATTAGGAATGCCTGTAAAGCGTTAATAAGTAAAACTAGACTATCATACGAAAAACAGTTGATTAGGGATTCTAGATATAGTCCGAAACGGTTATTCTCGTATATAAAAAGGCGAACTAAGAGAAGTGATGGAATTCCATCACTTTTGATACGAGAAAATCCGTTAATCTTAGCAGAGAATGATGCCGAAAAAGCTGAAGCTTTATCGGAATACTTTAGTAAAGTGTTTTCTATCGGTAATGAGGAACGACCAATGATTCGTGGCGACCGTGACGGCTCGCTGATGGATCCTGTAGTCATTGAGAAAGATACTGTTTTAAGGCTACTTCAGCATCTCAAACCTGATAAGTCGTGGTCCCGATGATATTCATCCTAGGATTATGAAAGCCATATCAGATGAAATTGCTGAACCATTAGCGATACTATTCGACATGTCTCTGAGACAGTCCAGACTTCCCAGAGACTGGAAAGACGCCATAGTAAGTCCGGTGTATAAGGCTGGGAGTAGGGATCTAGTTAGTAACTATAGACCCATTAGCTTAACTAGTGCAGTTGTGAAATTGATGGAGAAAATCATTCGGATAGCTGTTATAAACTATGTTGAAGGGCAAAATCTTTTCTCCAGGGCACAACATGGTTTTCGGAAAGGCCTATCTTGCTTGACAAATCTTCTCATTGCACAAGAAGAGTCCCGATCGAAGCTGCTACCTTGACGCGGTGGTCGGGCTTGCCTATCGTGATGAACCAACCGAGCTATATTGGCTGGAACATATGTTCCTGCAGGTTCTACCATGCCAGGCAGGTCGATTGGCGAACGGTAAGACTAAAAGCATAAACTCAAGGTCTGAGGGCGAAGTCGTACTGCTGACTGTAGAGAGGTGTGACAGCAGTAAGGTGTTTCCCTCGGACAACCAGCATGACAGCGATGCTGCCTTCCCACAAGGAGGGATGGGGTTAGAAAAGGTCAACCCTAAAAATGCACACCTCACCTTACCTCACGGATTTCCGTCTCCGGCGGTAAGGCCCTTTGAAGAACGGAGCTAACACGTCAAAAACCTTCCACAAAAAGGCCGTGCGCGACCGGCCTCAAGCAGTTGTCCCTTGGGCTCTGCGGTCACGCTCTCAGGTCGTCAAGACCAACACTAATCCAATTTCCTTTTCAGGTTCCTCAAGAAATACCCTTCCACGGTGTGGGCAGCCGGGAAGTGACATCAGCCCTCATACCCGTAACAGCACAAGAGACCAAGGTGGTCACATTCAAATCCTTCCTACACCTCCTAATACCTCTCTTATCTCCCCGACTAACCCTCCTCACGTCTCTTTATCACCTGGCACCGCTAGGGCAAACGATTCGAGTACGTGGAACGCCATTCCTGGTGTCCTGAAACCACGCTCTAAACTACACGTAGGAGCTTTTAACGTACGAACACTTTGCCAAATAGGACAGCAGGCTTCATTAGCTAAAACTTTAGAATCCCGCTCCATCGATGTGTGCTGCGTCTCCGAAACGCGCATACAGGATCCGAGTAGCGTCATTCATTTGACCTCACCATACCAAAATAAAGAACCGACTCGATTTACGCTTCGTGTATCTGGAAGCCCTGATTCCGCTTCCCGTGGCCTCGCCGGCGTAGGTATAGCATTGAGTCCTAGGGCAGAACTAGCTCTCTTAGAGTGGATCCCAGTAGACAGTCGTTTGTGTGCTGTCCGACTGAACGGAACAGTAAGAATCCGGAAAGATAGGGATACTCGTCGTTGCCTCTTCGTCGTCTCTGCCTATTCTCCCACTGACTGCAGCTCAGATGATGTAAAAGATGAGTTTTACAGAAAGCTTTCGGACCTTCTCCGAAAAGCTAAGCGCTCGGATGTAGTAATAGTGGCCGGTGACTTTAATGCTCAAGTAGGTAAACTAAGCGATAGGGAAAGACACCTAGGTGGATCTTATGGTGTCGTGGCTCAAAGAACAGATAATGGCGACCGTCTGTTGCAGCTATGCTCAGATAACCGCCTGTTCCTTGCAAATACTAACTTTAAGCATAAGGAAAAACATCTTTTAACATGGCGACCCCCTAATTCGTCCCAACGATGGACCCAAATAGATCACATCGCTATCAGCCACCGATGGAGGGGCTCGATAGAAGACTGTCGCTCATTCTGGAGCACATGCCTAGATTCAGATCATGCTTTAGTGCGAGCGCGTATTTGCTTGCGTCTTACTGGACGTAGGAAAGACGCTGCAAGGAAACCTCTTAGGGGCCTACGTAATGATAGTCAAGCTAAGAGTATATTTCAGGAACAACTAGGCAGCCATGTAAGTGATGCCCACCCCGATGCAGCATGGAATGATATCCGAAAAGCTGTGGAAACAGCAGTGATATCTGCTAGTAAGGTAAACCAGAAGGTTAGGGAGCAACACTGGATCTCACAAGCATCTATCTCACTGATAGATGCTCGGAAACTCATTCCACCTGGCTCTGAACATAATGAAGAGCGGAGTCAGCTTAAGCGCAAGCTGACAAGAAGTCTACGCAATGATCGCGAACAGTGGTGGGTAGCGAAAGCAAGAGAGATGGAAAAGGCAGCGGCAATAGGTAATAACAGACAATTGTTCAGACT